CAACATGAAAATTATTTTCCTGAGCATCCATGATAAACTGAAGCTCACATGTGTAGTATTCTATGGATCTAAAACAAAGAAACCAAAAAATCAGGCACGCTGTGAAACAAAATATTTTAATGCAAGAAGCTGACTGTTTTTAATGGTTTTTATACAGTGTTGTGAGAAATATTTGTTGCTGCAAATCAGTTTCTTTTCAATAAAGCTGGAGAAGCTGAATGTAGCCTCATGGGTGGTTGTGTGTTGTTTTTTCTTTAGTCCCAATTCACAATATGTTACCACAGCCATTTCTTTTGTAAATTTACCTCTGCTGTTATTGAAACATGTCAGTCCTTTGATGTATGTTGTTATGCACTGCTATGACTAACAGGGATTTATGTATCCTAGTTCTGTGGTCTTTCTGCAGATAAGACTGGTGCCAGAGTTATTTACAATCTGTTCAGGTTGCATTTTTTGCCTTTGGTAAAGATCTGCATAGACTGGATTTGGGTTCTATGTGATGTTTCATTACAAACATAATTTCATTATCATTTTTCTCACGTGTGCTCCCTGTTTTTCTAACAGTTTACATTAGAGAGATTTAAATTACCATTGCTTTGGCAGGATAGGAACTGCTTGATTCTGAGACAGAATACTCTTCAGTTATTTAAAACTGGTACACACTCTCTAGATGCCCATAATATAAATAGTGACGACAGTTTTTAAGCTATGTGTTTGAGTGAGTGATTTGACTACTGCTATGGAAGAATAACTCATGCAGTACTGGTTCTTTTCAAACCTCCTTCCTTGCAGCGACAGCAGGTATTGACTGCATACTGTAAGAACAACATGGGATGCTACTCTATGTTAACTGGATTCTGAAATACACCTGATCTTTTAGGAAAGGATCATAGAATAACTAAGGTTGGAAAAACCTCTAAAATTATATAGTCCAACCATCAACCCATCCCCGCCATACCTATTAACCATGTCCCTCAGTGCCATGTCTACACAGTTCTTGAACTCTAACAGACAGTGACTCCACCACCTCCCTGGGTGGCCTGTTCCAATACCTCACATTCTTTCTGAGAAGAGACTTTTTCTCGTATCCAACCTGAACTTCCCCTGGCACAACTTGAGGCCCTTTCTCTTGCCATATCGATAGAAAAGGGGTAGTAGTGCAAATCTTTTATGTGAAGGGCTTAATATGGACATAATTCTGAGGAGTGGATAGAAAAGTGAAAGCGTGAAGTTCTTAAAAAGCAAATAAAACTAAATATGAGAGAAAAAGCAGTTCGAGAAGAGGCAGGAGATGCTTGTAGGGCTCTGCAATTTAGTCATAAGGAGAGCAGGAAGTACCATTGTAGATATGTTTAGAAAAGAGGCAGATAAGAGGGGTTGTAATATATAATGGTTATTTGCTGAGAAGAGTTCCATCAAAACACCTGCAAATGTAGGTCTATGTATGCCAATACATATCCCAAATATAAGCCAATTTTTTTTTTTTTTTTTTGTCTTTTGTTTCTCCTCCTGTTTAACAAATTAGCAATCTAGTTGGGCTTTGTGGAATTTCTTATTAATGTTGAAGTTGATATTGATGTAAATCTGTCAAAAGAAAATCTAGGATATCTCCAAAGCTCTACAGAAGGGGATAATTGTGATACAAGTAGCAGAGGGGAAGATTCTTCCTTTGGCTGATTAGAAATAATATTCTTCTTATTTACTTTTCTAAGAGAAATGTAAGTCTAGCAGACTTAGTATTTATATCATGGGCAAGCAGCAGCACAGTTTAGCTTGCATATGAACTGGTTAAGAATCTTTGGATTTCCCCTTTTGATTTTTTTTTTTTTTTTCTCTCCTGAGTTATTTTTTTCCATTCATTCGTATCCATTCTGTCTCCCTGTGTGTATTTAGGTGTCAGCAACAAATTCTGGGTGAGTGGGAACTTTCTGCGTCCTGAAGGAGAGGGTGGGAGAAATGGCATTACTTATTTGTTGTATTTGTCTACACAACAAGAGAAAGCTCCTGAGATGCTTTAGTCCTTCAGATCCTTTTGATGAGTCACTAAAACTGCAATCAGATTGTGTCCTGACATTCTCTAAAATCATTGCTTAGAAAAAAACAGTTGTTATAATCTAAGAAAAAATAATACTCAAAATGGATAGTGAGACAGGCAAAGGGATTTTATGGAAAGGAGGCAGATTTTGAATTTTTAAAATAATATATTTGGAAAGTTATTCTTTGTTTTTCAGTTGATATATTCGTACTGTTGTTGTCTTATATCTGTTCTGATCAGAATGACTTTGAAGTCATGCTGAAAAAAACTTGTAAAATTGTTAAATATTTTACAGAGCAAAAATCATTTTTCTACAAATAAACTGTGTAAGTTCAGAGAATTAAATGGTCTGGGGCGCATCCCTTTACATCCCTAATGGTGAATTACTTAGGCTTGTTTTATTTTGTTTCATGTTAATGAATACAAGGATTTCTTTTTATTTTTAAAGAGAAGATAACATTATGTAGCAGTGGAGTTACTAAGTGCCATTATTTATAGAAAACTTGAAACAACTTGGGATTTTATGGGTATATGTAGCATATCCTTCAGATTGCTTATCGTATTGTGTGATAGCAGTGAAGTGCTATTTCTAGAAAGCGCAGATTTGTTCACTGCTTCCTTTAAATATGTGTCAACTAATTACTGTCTGAACACATTGTAGCCGTGTTCGTTCTTACCTGTTCTAATGCACTGAAGGTAAAGCTACTGCAATCCTAAACTGTGTGAATTGTCTGGGGATGGGATAAGGCAGATAACTGTACTTTCATCTCACCATATGCTTCTCAGTCAGCAATAACTTTAGTGGAGGTGCAAAATGATGGACTGTCTAGCTGACAGACCTTAGAAGACTTTTGACCTGCCAGGATGAAGGCTGGTCTTGCAGGCTCTCCTGAGCTCTATAGCCCAGATAACTTTCAACCTATTTCTGCTTGGAGGTGGACGTGTTTACTCCAGCCAAGCTGCTCCTGCAGCTGATGGGCAGAATTAAGTCTCCCGAAAGTGTGTAGCCATGATTCCTCAGTGTGCATAGCTGCTGAAATGGCTGATTTTTTTGGTGTGAGCTTAAGTTGCAAGGACCTATCCTGCTGCCTAGCGCATTCAAACTAGAAGTGCTTTCAGTTAGATTGGATATAAGGAAGATAAGGGTGGTGAGGCTCTGGACGAGATTGCCCAGAAGTTGTACTTTCTGCCACTGGAAATGGAAAGAAATTGCCTACAATGTCTTAACATGATTTGATGTTTTTTAATAAACTCATCTAAAGGCCATAAGGCAGGGGATAACTTTTGATTTTATAGCTGTCTTTAACTGAGATTCCTGATTTGGAAACCTACTCAAGAGTAAGACCACGCTTTAACACTCTTGTTTGTGAAATTGATATTATATTGAGATATTTCAATGTGTTCTTGTGATTTGAGGCATCAAACCTGCCTAAACACTTAATATGAAGTAAAGGTCTTGCCATTGCTTCATTTCCCTTTGTTTATCTTTTTATTAGTCTAAGGCAACCCTAGTCCTTGTTGTATTGTACTATTTATATTGAAGGATTGGATTTAGTTTCTTGAACCTCCACCCAGTCAAACCATTAATGTTATAGGATATGTGTCTGAAAATAGGACTAGAAACTTACAAGTATAAAAAGCCTTTTGATGTCTGATGACTTCAGAGTATGTTTTAAATGATTCTTTCTGGAGCAGAACTGCTAGAAGCAGCAAAAGCTCTCTGTGCCTGCATGGGGAAGCAGCACTGGGCTCTCCTTCCTGGATCTGGAACAGCCAGGGATGATCCACCATTCCCATGGGTACAGAATACATGGCTTATATGTGAGGGAGCTTATAGTTGAAACCTGCTTTGCTGCTTTCCTTTTTCATTCACCTGATAGAGCAAGCTTATGAGGTGGGGAGGTCAGCGTATTGGGCAGGTTACTACTCATCCAGACTGGCCAGGGTCGCTGTGGATGTACTTAGCAGCACTGATGTCTATGAGCAGCTAGTGTAAGTGAAGACATGGCAAAGGCCAGGCTTCACTGTTCATGCTATGCCCAAAAAAATCCAGGCACCTCAAAGCTTTCTCTGGGATGCCAAAGCCTATGGACTACAGTTTTACCTGCCCCAAGGCATAATGAAAGTTTACAGGCATAGATGGCTATCACAAAAAACTAAAGGGAGAAAGTGAAAAGAGGCAGGAGAGAGAAAAAATCTAACGCAACAAAAGGGAGTGAAACATCTCTCTCTGCCCCCTCTAAGGCCTGAGGATCAGGGAGTAGATGTTATGAAGCCGGTTTAGTTTCTAGCAGCTTCATCTTGCCTTTGTATGCAGTTGGCTTTGTGTGCATTGATGTCCTGTTGGTAATTATCATTCTGTTGTCACCTGTATTCACAGTGACACCCCCATATCACATTTTCATCACAGCGTGAAATGTCGCTCTTTTTGCTTTTGTTTTGTGGGTACTATGAATTTAGCCCAGAACTGAAAAAATAGACACTTCTCACAACACACAACGAGCCATTGATAACCATGCAGCTTAGTTACTGATCCTATCTCAGTGCTTCCATCTGTCTCCTTCCTCCCACCCCTCTTTTTAAGCAGACAAGCTTTTCCCTCAACAAGCTGATGACAGAATAATTTCTTCACATTGATTGTTTGCCCCACTTGGACCTCTGGAGATCTTCGTACAAGTGGAGAGAAGTAGATCAAAAGGCTGCAAGAAAAAAGAGGCAGAGGATTGAAAAAAGGCACCATAAAGATCCTGCTCAGATTTCAGCATGGTGATGAACAGACTTGTAAGGTATTCTGAGACCTGTCAAATTTTCCCATCTAAAATCCAGACCTATTTTTAAAAGAATTTTCATAATGAGTGTCTCTTTTCCCCCACCAGCAGGCTCAGAATGCTTTCTGAAAAGTTCTGCAGGACAGAGAAGTTGAACACTTGATCACATGCAGGAGCACAGGATAGATGGAGTACAGCTGACTCAACAGCTTCTGGGGATTTGGGTAAGTGCCCACTATGTCAGCCAACTAGAACTTAGTAAAATATTGCAAAATTTCACATTATTTGTTATTTTAAAAAGTTATCATTTTAACACTGGTTTGACAAGTTTGAACTCACTGAAAAATCTCAGAGGGAGTTGGTTGGGGAAGAACTATGTAGGGAATGGATAATGAAAATAGAGAGGGAAATTATCATCAAACTGGGAAAAGAGGTGTTATTTTTTTTTTCTCAACTTAGATTTTAACTAAAGGTACCCAGACCAGACCCACATCATTAATGTGAGGGGAGGAAGGTTATACACCTTTGAGGTTACCAATGTGTGTCAAACCCATTTGCTTTGCTTCCAGGAGGAAAACAATAAATTTCTTGAGGGAGACAATGTTATCCAACTTGTGGTGTCAGTCTGCCTATTCCCACAATCGTTGCATTGATGGAAGAGAATTTTGATAAGCGAGACTTCTTATCTGTCTCCCTCTGCAGTATAATGACATGGGTTTGCTGATTGAAAATGACATTGTCTGCAGTAACAAAGCTGGCTGGATATGATAATTGCACCACCTTTCATTATTTTCTTTTAAAAATATTAATAATGACAATATACTCATGAGTGAAGATAGTGGGGATTTGAAATCAAGTCTTTAGTTAAGTTGATGAACTGATACAGTCCAAATTGACATAGTTATTCTAATTGCTGTGTGCACTGTGAAAGGAAATTTTAGCACCGTCCTAGAGCAGCAGCAAAAGAAACTGTTCAACCTACTTGTGTTCTTTTGATCAAAGAATGTTTTTGATCAGTGCGTGATGTTTTGCTTTCTTTTAGCTTGGTCTTGAGCAATATCCCTCAGGCTTGTTTTAGAGGCTGGCTTAAAAATTACTTCAAACCGTGTAATAAGTCCAAAATGGCTATAAGAGGGACTCGAAACACGGTAAAAGAAATATTCATAAGCAAATCTTTTTTTTATTTCATAGTAAAATAAAATAGCTTCTCTGGTTCTGTTTAAATGTAATCCTTGGAACAGTGTGAGTGCTCTCTGATTTCACGCAATTATGAAGCCTGTGGGTTTTTATACTTGTTTAGACCAAGATATTAGCAGTGTTATTTACTCCATATTTGTTGAACTTTTAAGGATTAGATCAGATTGTACAATTCTACAGTGGCATTCTATAACTTTACTGCTTAATTTCTATTCCTGAAAGTCAGGAAATTGAAGTCAATCTGATAGCATAAACTGTTGGTGCTTTTTGTCAGTGAAGTCTTGTTTTAATGGTAACTTTTCAAACTGCAAACAGATGGCTGCACTATAATCTACTTGCCAGTGACATCAAGCATTATTTACTGAAGATTTATATTTATATTGCTCTCTTCAAAAGCGTAAAAAGAGTAATTAAGGAGAATGATACTCGTTTAGATCTTTATCTGCCCATGTGACTGCAAGGCTCTAGGGGCATGCAATAGGATAAGAAGTGTCTCATCGCTGTATTGGTGTTTTTGAATCCAGACCATAGTTACAGGCAACTGAAGGCCATTACCATGTGACGACTCTTTAGTGGCCTATATCAAATGATTTGATAGTCTCTGTAAATTTGCTAGCTGATGGAATCCTCATAATGATCAGTGATGTGAAAAAGAAATCAGTAGGTTGAATGTGCTTGTGCTGAATATCTTTAAACCTAGAAACAACCTATTCATTCCAGGCTTTAGGGACGGTCCCTGTCTGCCCATATAGAGGACTACATAACCATTGCTTGTGTTTGTCTAAGATGATCCTGGACTTGCTTTAGTCTCTTACTGTTTTTCAAATTGCGATATCTCTACTAAAAGTGAAAGACGAACACAATGTGGAACAGGTGCAAGAGAGCAAAATCAAACCATTTTTCTATGTAGTCAGTGTAGCTAGCCAATGACTCAAAATTCTGTTGTCACTGCGTTCGTTGCAGATACTTCTGCATGTTGTAGTCAGTCCATAGGTATGTGCTATTGGTTATGTGATTAAAACTTGTTTTGTAATCAGTTTTAACAGTTAATTATAGATTTTTTCTTCTCTTTATTATAATATTCTGTGACTAAAGTGAGAAATACAAAATGATTTTCACTTTGTGATGCAAGTCAGATAAGCAGTGACTGTAGTAGGGAATCTGTTTTCAGTTGGTTTAAATTCTTGGCTTTTTGTGTTGAACCCACCAAATTTGCACAAAGAATCTAAGTTCTAACTAGAGATTAATGAAATACACAACAGAACATCAAATTATAAGTTTTAATAATGAGAAGGAGCTCTTGCTTTGTCAAGGATTTCCAGATTTGGAATAAAATGATCTTTTCAGATCACCACAGTAGTCTCCAAATTCTATTCTGAATTTACTTTTTTTTCTCAGTGTGACACATTTTTCTGGTTATGTAGTAGACAGTGTGAAATCAGAGAAGAATTTTTCCAAAACTCTTTAATTCTAGTCCAAAGCTTTGACAATAGATCACTTCCTTCAGCCCTGTATTCCTCTAAAATCTGAGCTCAGTACCAGCATTGCACAATTCATAGCCCATGGAAAACCATCGTAATTCCTGCAGGTTGGAAGGGCAGCACAGAAATCTGTTTTTCTTGTGTGACTTGAGAGATGCAGTTGATTTTGGTGTTTTGTTTGTTGGTTGGTTGGTTTGTTTTATTTGTATTTTTTTATCTAAAGCTTTAAATTGACTTACGTTCTTATATTTTATTGAGGCATCTGTGAATCAAACATTTGAAACAGAAATTTGAATAATTTTATTGACATCTATCTGGTACATAATGTTTCAATACTTTCTTTGTATGGTATAATAACTATGACTATAGCTATAACACTAATGTTCTCAAAAGCCTTAGGATGTCAATATAAACGTGTGGGAGGGTTTTAGCAATGTTTTCTGTGAAATGCAGCAAGTTCTAAATTGCTTATTCAGATCGTTTCTGTGGGAGGAAAAAACCCAAATATTCTGACAATACTTAAATAAAATTGAACTGATCACTAGGTATAACTACCGTAAAAATAATATAGAATGGCATGAAGGAAAGGTAGCCCTTTTGAGGAATATTAGTATTTCACTCATGGATATAGGAAACAACTAGAATAACTGTTGAACTGTTGTTTAGCACAGAATAACAGGTAAACTGCTTGCATGATTTTAACTATCTTAAGTGGAGAGTTTAAATATATATAAACTGTCAGGATCTATGACTCGTTCCAACATAGCTTTTTAAAGTGCTTTAATGACTGTTTCACTTCTAGTCTGTTATCTCCTTGGAAGGTATTGTGCTATTTTGTATAAATCCCTTGGAAATATTTCATATAGTTGTACTGTTCGTTTGATCACTTTTTCTCTTTTTACTTTGTAAATAAGCAGTCAATTTCTTTTCAGAACAGAATAATAATAAAAAAACCTGAGTGCATTCAAGGATTTGTCGTAACAGCAAGTAGACTTGCATGCTGAAGTACAGCATTTAAAAGATTATTATTATGATGAATGTTTTGTATTGTTAAAATACAGATTTTGTTATTAATATATAGCACTGTGGTTACATTTTCCCTAGCCTTTAGAATGGCAAAGTAATAGTAATAAAAAAGTCTCAACTAAGGTTTTGCCTACCTAAGGCTACGGGATGAAGCTATGGATGTACCAAGGCTATTGTGGATCTCTCAGTATGCATTACACTGATTTTATAGGTTGAAAGGCATTGCATGGCTTTAATATTATCTATCCAACATACATGTTCAATTCTCATTAATAGTAATACGATTAACAAAAGATAACCTGAGCTGTGTATTTAGGAACCAGATCTAGATTTTCAGCCTCTCGGTGTTCAGCAGGGCTTAGAATGGTTATTTCACTTCAGTTCAGAAGAAAGCTCTGTATTACTTCTACATTAATATTTAATGGTCTTGAATTTCCATTACCTATGTAGCATGCTGGTCCAAATTTGATAGCTTTCTGAAACGACCATCTTCCAGATTAAATTCTAGTAATTTTGGCATGGATTACTTTTATGGAAAATTTACATCTATCTCTTTTTTAAAAAAGCCAAAAACATTATTATTAGTTTAAGTGAAAGAAGTTGTTGTTGAGGGACTAGGAAAAAAAAACAACAACAACCAAAAAGTTTAGAATAAAACCAAAAATTTGATTTATTTTTCTTTATTAAGAAAAAAAAGCCCTTCCCAAGTTTGTTCCCAGTCTCACTTTCTTTGGATACCTTAGGCAACTGATTGATTCACCAAATATCTTGGCATTTGGGATTTTGTCTATGATTTGTTCGTCATCAATTACAGTTCCTGTTGGGGTTAGTTGGCGTTCTGAGCTTTGACCCAATATTAATTACAAAGCTCATATAGTATAGAGACATTCCAGGATTTCTGTTTTATATCTCAAGAATAGAGTCTAAACGTATCACTAGAAAATGTGCATGAATCATTTCTGGGGCCAAATAATTGATACTGAACGCAAATCTATGCCTAAGCACATCTGTACATTTCATGCATCGTATTTCCTTCATAGTCCACCACTGCTGTTTGTATTCTGTATAGTTAGTAGAGAGATTAGTTTGCCTACTTAAAACAAATTTTTTCTCCCAACATCCAATCCGTTTTGCAGGTTTATAACTGTCATGAGTTTTGTTTTGATTAGAAAATACTAATCAGTGTGTGTGTGTGTATGTGTTATGTATGTGTGTGTATCTCTGTACATGTATTTTCACCTTTGCAGCTTTTGCATGATGTCGGAAATAGCATGGTATTGTGATCTGAAGTCTGAAGCATTCATAAGAAAAGAAACTCAAAGTCTTTCAAAGTCTTTCAAAGTCTTGACACTAAAGATTGTTCACAAGCAGATGAAAATATTAAAGATAAAACCTGTTCCTAAAAAGTTACTTGCATCTCAGGCGCCCATTTTTTTTCTTATTCTTTAGGAGTTTTATTATCCTTTAGGAAGAAAACAAACAAATAAAAAATCAAAAACCAGGAATTACACCATTTGGTATCCTTGTTTTCAAAACAGATACTGTAAAGTTCCAAGTCCTGTTTTATCTGCATCAGAAGAGCCAAAGATGCAAAGAAGGTGATGACAGAGGTTGCATGGTCTGGATAATCTGTTACAGTGGGATGTAGGAAATGAATGAGAAAGTTCAATTGAAGGGCTGGGTGCAGAGAATTATTCTTCTGGATTTGTTTGTCACATTACTTTTAAGTGCTAATAGTCTGATATATGTCTGGAAGGAAAGCAGTTCTGGAAGCTCTGATGGAGGTACAGCTAACACACAACTCCAGCACAGATGCAGAACTAAGGTAAACAGTGAGACAGACATGAACCAAAAGGAGCTATTTTGTCATGAAATTACTATAAGAAGTAATATTTATTGAACAACATCATGATTACTTCAAAACATTTTTAAGTAAAAGCAATCATTTTTCTACTCTATTACTTGCAGAGACCTAATGTATGTTGCTAGAGAGTGTTTAGTCTGTTAATAGATCTATATGAAAACACTTGTAAATAGAACATTTATTCTGCTAGTTTCATTATGCACAAGTCAAGATACATACATATCACTGTATTATTTTGTAGCATTGCCACTCCATAAATGGAAAATGAAGAACAAGCATCAGGTTATAATAAAATATAGGATGAATATTTGAAATAAAAATTAAGCTCAAAAGTCAAAATTAGCTCACAAGTGAATTTAAATAAAAAATGAAGGACTGAACCAGTAGTGAATGCTGCTCAAAATGGAAAATCATTGAAGATCATTTAAAAATGAAAAGATGAGAGAACAAACAAATTGAGTGTCAGGTAATAAAAGAAGGAATTTAGGTTAGTCACTGCTGTTCCACAGTATTTCTAAGCTGAATACAGAATGGCTTTCATTTAAATTGCAAACATCTTTGCTTTGAAATTTTGTGTGGGTTTTCTGACATGGCAACATTTGTGAAATCAGGGGCAAGGGCTTTGCAGAATAATAACAATTAAATCAAGGGATGCTTGTTGCAACTGTTCCTCTTTGTACTCTTCAATTACATGCAGCACAGAACAGTAAGATCTGCAGATATGACTTGGTGCTGGATATATAAACAAATCCAGTTGCAAAGAAATTCATACCCTGTCTACTTCAGCATTTTAACAGTTTGGTAGATTGGAACCCAAGTATATTGAGCTGTTTTTCCACTGAGTTGGTTGTTTTAGAAATCTAAATGATGCATAGTATCTGAATGATTAATTAACCATGTTTGATAGGTCCTCAAATCTCTGTCTCTTTGTCTGTACTCATCCTTCAAATCTGTTCTACAATGGATGCTTGAAATAGTTGCCGTGTGAACTTTTTGGGTATATGTGGAAGTCCTGTACACAGAGCTTTCCTCCATCTCCAAATCAACGGAAAGAACTGTCCACTTGATCAATAGAATATACGAAACCTTATTTGCAAGATATCCTTCGGTATAGGAGCAGAAACTAAGTTAAATTATTTGCGTGACTTTGAAAGTATTTTTTTTCCCTTGATTTGGGCATTTCAGTGAGTCCAAACACTACACTGAGTGTCATAAACAAACATAGTAAATCATGTAAACATCAAAAGATTTTCAAAAATGTTCAGCAGAGAAAATGGAGAATGAAATTTGAAGAAAACAAAAGAGTACTTTAGTTACATTGGTGAAACCTGGAGCGAAGGAAGACATTTTTTGTGCAGTTTGTGTCTATGGAATCATGAAAATGTCTTTTAACAGACAAATATATTTGTTTCTGAACTAAAAAGCACTTTTTTTTTTTTTTTTTTTTTTTGGAAAAGCACGAAGTGCTGTAATGGCCAAAAAAACTCCAATTCCATGTTAAAGAGCAAGGGGGGGGGAAAAAACCAAATGCATATCTTTACTATCTTTCTTATGAACATGTTGATTTCTGTGTTATAAATCACCTACTCCTGAGGCTTGAATTTTACCTTCCTTTTTTTCTATGTGGATATTTCATCATAACTATGTGGATATTTCATTTTATAGGCGTATACAGACAAGTGCCATTTTGATGAAATAATTGGATGTCTGTATGGTTTGTGGTTGGAACTTGATGATTGGGTCCTTTCTAACCCAAGCCATTCAATTATTCTATGATGCAAATCTTTTGGTTGGATGACTTCTACATTTGGTTGGCTGAGGTTTTAGCATTTTTTAGTGAGAGGTAGCTGGAAACATTTTAAAAGCAAGTTGGGAAGGAGTGGTTGCCTTGATCCTTACAATGGTAAATGGATAGATGAAGTTGGCCTCTCAGGGTATTTTCTAGCCCTGCAATTCTCTTGCAAGAAATAATAAAATAATGCACATTCTTAACTTATTTAACTGAGATCAGCAGGAGTGCTGACCAACTGGTGCTGCAGGTCTGCATGCTAATCCATATGCAGATCAGTCAGTAGTTGGAGAGCAAGAAGAACATTATTGGTTGTGTTAAAATTTGACTCGCTCTGAATGCACTAGAGAACTAATGCTATAAATACTTAATGTCTTAATTCAGTTTTGGTCTTTAGCAATCATCTCTCCTCCCTCTGAAGCACAGCAACAGAAATTAAGTTAAATAATTAACATTTTAGAAATTATCTAAAGGTCTGCTTTTTATCTAAAATAATAGTTACAGCTTTCTCAGTGTGATTTCTCATTAAATTCAAACTTTTTTTTTTTTGTAGCAAAAAAATATTGTAGTAGTTAGAAAATTGAAGTCAAACTTAGATCTTTGTAAAATGCCCTTGATTTATCAGAAAGTAGCTCAATTATGGAAAGAAACATTTTATCCAAATCACAGCTGTACAAACAGAGGTAAGGCTACAATATATTGGAGAAACATCAGTTTTCCACAGTAAAAAATGTTCACAAAATAAAGGTTAAATTTTCCTTGTTCCAAAAACAAACAAAACAAAACAAAAAAAAACACCAAAAAAACAACCAACATCAAAACCCGAAACACCCTAATTCTCACCGAGAGTAACAGATAAGGTAAGGAGATCATGAAATTGTAGAGGTTTCATAGCAACCCAGTTAAGAATTTTATTTTCTTTGTTCTCACTTTTTATTTTTTTTATTTATTTATTTTTTTTGTCAGCATTAGCTGCAAGTGCTGTCAACCTCCACAGGAGTCTGCTTGAAAAAAAGATTAAAGGATCAAAGAATTGTTTTATTTAAAATTTTGTATCCACTTAAGACTAAAAGAAGGTTGCATTGTTGCTATAGGTGACACTTGGATCAGGAAGATGAGCAGAAGACACACAGCACAGCTGCTTTTGGATAGGATGGCAAAAGTTGAATCTGACTTATTAAGAATAGAATAGCTTCAGTAAGCTGGGACCAACCAAGATAAAGTCCAAATGTCCATATGCCTGCCTAGCAGAAACTTGGTGCTGCCAATTCTGTTTTAATCCCAGGTACTTCCAGGCTGAATTGAGTAGGAGTGAATGACTGGACTCCTCTGGTGGCACTGGGACATTCCTTTGGCTTCTTCATGTAGTGCATAGCTCGTGCTTTATTCTAGTTGGCTTGTTTGCTGCCAAGGAGCATCTGAGAATGCTCTGTGAGGGTCTCTGTCTCTCAACACAAGACTTTAAACCCCACACTCCTACATAGTCATGAATGATTCTAATAAAAAAGTGGGAGTTTGTCCCAAACATTCTCCCTGTGTGCTGTTGCTAGCTTCTTCCAAGGCTGCATGGAAGTGTGCTGTGTTTTTGAATGTTCCTTCTCTTCTCAGAGAAATGTGATGATCAGCATCTCTTGCTGTCATGTTAGAGGTAAAATCTCTCAGAATTGCCCAATTCCTTTGTGGGAAAACTAGTACTGCTTCAGATTAGCAGAGATTTTTCTGTTCATAAAATAAATAAAAGAAAAAGTAAAGCAATTCATGGACAAAATCCCTGGTGTTCTGAGATATTCCTGATGAATATGCGAATCAGATATTTATTGATTGTGGTAAGTATTGTAAGTATGACACTTTGGAGAATTCCTCCTAGAAAGAATAATTATTCAAGACATGAAAAATTTATGTGTTCTGACCTTCTAGACTGGTTGCCAGGTATGATTCAAGTAGATGTAATTTCTATGCCAACTCCTTACCTGAGCTCAATTCAATTGCATGCATGCTTCAAAGAACAAATTTTTGGCAATTAGATATGGACTGATTTTATTCCAGGACCTTGAGCCTGAGAATTGCTCAAAAAGACATTTATCTGTACAGTTTTCAAGGACGTGGCTGAAATAAAACATTGTTCTGCTTAATTCATCTTTCTCAATCGATTTTTACACTGAAATATATAAAAAAAAACAAACAAACAAACAAAAAAAACCCAAACTGCCAATGTTCAATTGCATAAGCACTCTCCTAGTCTATCAATAAATTTTAGGGGACTTTTTCCCCTTTTCTTTCTTTTGTACCATCCATGAGCACTTCTTTGCTGCACGTTGTGATTAAAAGCTCAGAAACAGAAATGGGCCCAGCTGCCCGTGGCCTCTTTCTCATACGATTGTGAGCTTTATCCATGATTCCTTTGCTGGAGGCCATCACCTCCCGAGTGGTAAAATGTCTGCAATAAGCATCTTCAACGCAACGAGCAGATGTGTGTAATAACCACCTAATGTTTTGCTAGGTTTTGCAATGGAACAGGTATGGTTACTGCTCCTGCTGACGATTAAAGTGCTTTCGGTGACTGCTCAGTTCAACGGCTACAACTGTGATGCTAACCTCCATAGCAGGTTTCCTGGTAAGTGTTTAATAGACTTTTTTTCTAAATGGCTTCTTTACTGTCTTGGTTCAAAGCAGCGCTTATTTTTAAATACAGAGCTTTAAATCTGCCTGGGACCTCGGGGTAGGGCTTCACATTAAGTGAATATTAACTACCTGAGTGACAATGAAACTCCTGTAATGTTACACTTTACACTCTTCTTAATTGCATGCTGGGTCAAATCTAGCCTAGTATTAATGAATACAACTACCTTCACATCAGTGGGGTTTGACCTGCTTTTGCCAGAGCTCTGTCCTTTTCAAGAAATTCACCAGAAGTCATGTTGTTTGAAATGCTCTTTACAGGTTTAAGAGTCTGAAACTCCTAACTGGGTTTTCTTTCAAGTTTTATCCAAGTGAGGTAATTATGTCCTTTTAATGAAATACAGAAATAGATACGTATTTTTTCAGCAAAAATGAAGTTGATGGCAAAATTCAGTGCCTCACTTCACCGTTAAGCTCTTGCCTGGAGGCAGTTGAAGCTGTGCGATGCATCTACAGATGATCTATATTCATGCCTCGAGAAAACAGGGATTAAGTTTTTCTGGGGACATCAGATGTCCAAAACTGTTAATGCACTGAGAAACATATATATATCAGAATTTACTCAGTTAAAGAATGTTGTTAATCTGTTACATGGTTTATTTTTCCTGCCTTTGTTGGTTCTTGTTCAGAATAATAGTAATGAAGGGCTGATTCCGACTGATTTACATCTTGTGTTCCTGTAGTAGTGATGAAGTCTCAGAATTATGCTGTAATACCTTTTGTTGTTGTTTTTTTTTCTTTTTTTTCTTTTCTTCTAAATAATAATAGTTCTGACTCTTCTTCAGGAAAGATCAGTTTTATTGAATCACTTGTTTTCACTGTTTCCTATTACTACCATACTGCTAGGTGCATTGCTGATATAAAAGACCACCAATGTTTTTGAATCTTTTTTCCCTTGACTGATGCGAATATGAAAAGTAGAGCAATACAGGACATGCAAAAAAAGGATAAAATATGTTTTGTTCATCGCTGGCAAAAATCACCATTAAGCTGAGTTTTTCACAACCTATTTCTATATTTCTATTCTTAGAGTTTTACAGGCTTGACTAAAAAGCGTGGGTTAATTGTGCCCACCTATTTCAGATCTACCTTTCATTATTTTCCATGTTTTTTGTTTTTTTTTTTTCTTTCCATTTCAGACTTCTTAAGAGGACTGCAGCCACTAGAGGGAAGCTTAGATTCTTCTTTCTGTGCTTTGTGAAAGCTTTTCTGGTCACCTTTCACACTAACCCCATGCCATGGTTTTATATTTGCTGTGTGATAACCACAAAATGAATCCAACTCTTACTGAGAGTATTTAGGAACTACTTACACAGTTCTGTCTCGTAATAATGGCTATATCTGATTCCATGCCTGCTGAATCCCAGAGACTCGGGCGCATTTGCTTAGGTTACAAGCAAACATTATTATTTTTTTAAGTAAATTCTAATAATGCCACACTGCCCATAGCAGGTGAGAACTGAGTCCTGCTTGTTCCTGTTTGTGATCTCAAGCAGTAGAAACTCAAAGGCTGAAATTTAATCAATGGTTTTAGTGCTGATTTTGAGAGCTAAGAAAGAAAAATAATTTCACTTATGGTAGCCATGTATTTGAGCTAGAGATGAAAAACCAAAATGCTTTTGTCCCAAAATATGACAGGTATTTTGTTCAAGAGGGACTGTTAAGTGATGTGCTGAGGCTGGTGGAGCTCAGTAAACCCCCCAGAACTCTGCTTGATTGGTTCAAGTGCCCCAGAAGATGGGCCAGAACCTGTGCAGGGAGTGAGGGGCTCACTTTTCCCTGCCTTCAGCATTCAGGTATAAGGGAAGAATGAGGGGTCAGAGCGAAGAACATGTCAAACAAGTGTCTTTTGAGGCTGAGATACTGCCCTGCAGAGCTAGGTTGTGGGTAGGATTATTTTCCCCATTTCTTATTTGTTCCTCGTAAGAAGCATTTTTTTTTGTCAGCTGAAATTCCAAATACGAGGTGACAGTGGACTTTCTAGCCGAGGTCTGTGGTGTGCAGATACCTCAGAAGCCATTGATTTTTTTTTTTTTTTTTTTGAAGTTGTTTGCTCTTTTATTTAATGCTGAGAGGAACAGAAGTTTAGGAAGCTTGTCTTCAGCAAAGATGAGAAATTAAGCCTTCCTAAGGACCCTCTGAGCTCATCCATTTTTCATTTGTTTGTGCTTTTATCGTTTGCTGCTTAGATGACTTTTGCATAGGGATGGCGCTGCATAAACAGGGTGATAAATAATCAGACAGGACTTTGTTTTTTTCCTGCAGTTTGCAGGTTTGTTTTACAGCGTAAGCATGCAATAATCAGCAGGGCTGTAGACAAAAACGCAGTTGGTCGATCAAAAATTCCGTGTCTTTTGTACTTAAAGGCAGATGTTTTCTTGAGTATGGAACAAGGTCATATCCTGCTGTCCGTCAGAAAGCTGCCTGAAGAAAAAAGTTTAAGTTGTGCATTGTAGTGGAGCATAGCTTTTAGAAGGCTTTTGGAGTGTACAGCCATGTTAGTGCAGCTATCTTCAGATGGAAATGTGCAGTTTTGATTCAGTGCTCTTGCTGAAAGAACTTACTGAAACTTCATAAAATTAGTTCATCTCTAGAATGTGCTGCTGCTATTTCGCACACTCTTGCACATTTTAATTCACCACTGAAGCTGTGACTTAATCAAAGAAAAGGCTTCTGCAGAAAAGCTGGTTTGGGGCTATAAATATCCTTGCATGCTTCTGGTGGAATGACTTCTGCCAGCAGTTTTCTGGCAAGTTCTTGTCTTCCACACATTTTTACGGTCAGCTCCATTGCAAGTCTTGGTGGTACGGATGGACACCAGGCAGAAGTGGGCAGTGGAGCTGTCTACATTTGGCCCATGCTGCCATGCTGTCCATCCTTGACTCAAGATGGTCTTGGTTACTGTAGTTATCACTGTATCTAACGGATTGTGCTGTTTTGCACATGACATTCTTGTAAGTACTCTTGCCTATGGCAATCTGGTGTAGTTTGAGTCAGAGGCCAAATGCTTTGCCTGTACACAACAGCAATAGAGGCCATTGTATTGAAGGCCCCATCAAGTCTCAGCTGGGTGACCTTACTTCCAAGCCATCACAACTATCTTCATCAGAAAAGTGGAAGTTTTTACCACAGGAATGCAACTATTTTTGTCTAAACATGCATATATAGGAGTAATATTTAACTTTCTAAATTCACAAAAAATTTGCTAGACTTTTAGCATCTAAAGGAGCATTAGATCTGTTTGTATTTAGTTTCAGAATTGCTTCTAAACAAACACTGTGCTTTTTGTATTGCAGAATGGACAGATTTAATAACAATGTGTCCTTGAAAAGCAGTTAGCAAAAAGGTTCAGTTTAGGAAAGCAGCTTATCTTCCTTTATAGTGCAAAAGTGGCTATTGTACCGTATGGTCCCATTTCCATTAGTGTCAAATGAGAATTTTGCAAGTTATAAAGGTACCGTAACAGGAAAAATAACACCCTGCTTTTAAAGAGGCTTGAAGTGAGTTATAAAATTAAGTGAGCTATTTTATATTATATCCTGCAATTTATTACAATCAGTGAATTGCTCTGAATAAATGTAGAAGCATATCCTTTACTATTTATGTTTTTTGTATTGTCCCCTCCACCTTAGTATACCCATTAACTGAATTACAACAGTCCTCTAGCAGTGAATACCATAACATGCTTCTTGATCTTTGTACATTATGTTAGTGAAAATACGTACATGTACAAACCAGGAGAATATCACACCACATCACTTCTACTTATGTTTTGCCTCCAGTACCTTTCTGCCCAAATTTACACCCAGTGAGTAGCGTTTATCACCGCATTAGTTCAGGTCAGAGTTTAGCCTGTTATTTTCTGCACTTGATTGTTTTGGCTTTAAAGCCACCATTAAAGCTGTCTAAATTAAACTGTTTGTGCTCCTGTACCATGGGGGAAGAGCTAGCTCATTATAATGGAGATTTCATTTCCTCTCTGTTTTGTCAGCTCAGTGAAACAATTCATTTCAGCAGGCTTAATGGCATAGTATTGACTGAAGTTGTTCTGCAATTTTTAATAGCCCTTAATGCTTAAGCAGGTGTAATAAATGTGTAGTTCTATAAACGAGTAATGACTGTGTTTAACATGATGCAGTACACCTTTTGCGGAGCGCTTAAGGAAAAAAAAGAAACCCAAACAAAATGTCCTATATTGTCTAAAGGCAAGAAGAGCCTGTAGAAAAGTTATGTAACAGCTCTGGGTTTCTCCACCCACAGAAACCATCCCTTGTCCCTGTAATCTCACCCAATGCTTTGCTATTCAAACACCTAAAAATCCTCAGTATATTCAAATTAAATAAATGTGCATTCATCTAAGAAGGACTTTCATAGAATCACTAACGTTGGAAAGACTACTAATATCATCTAGTCTAACCATCAACTCATCAGCATTTTGCTGCAGTTCAAAAACTGATTAGTTATAACAGTTGCCATGTTCTAGGCAATCTACCTTCTTTTGTATTGTAATAATGTACAGAATGAAAGATTGCAAGACACTCTGTGGTTTGATTCGTTGTCTGCTGCACAGCCTGAGACTATGGTCTAATACAAAGTAGACTCCAGAAGGCCTCAAATGTACCCCACTTCCATGCCAGCTGCCATCTGGAGTGGACTGAGGGGCAAAGCTTCCTTTCCAAGTTTTCTCACAAGTGCTGGGAATTTACTGTTTCAGAAGAGGACTGCTCAATCAAACTCCAGATATGTAACCACTTTTCCAATCCTTTGCAGTGCTTCAACTTCTGAACGTGCTACTAAATGACTTGCTGGTGAAGACTGGAATAGTGGTTTTGTTGCATGGTGGACTACATTTACTGCATTAATCTTTTTCTTTCTTTAGTGTGGCTGTAGATTCAGATATACTCGTTTTTCAGAACAATGCTCTTCTGTTCTATATATTCCATTATTTTGCTGTGATAGAGGTCTAAAGCTTGATTTGATAGGAATTTATAACACCAGACTAATTGGTGCAATAATTATATGCTGTTTAGTTTAAATACAATATTTTTTTCTTTTTTTTTGCAATATCTTTTACCATTATTTTTTCCCTTGCAGCTGAACGTGATATCAATGTTTTCTGTGGAGTACAGACGATTACTATGAAGATAAATTTTTGCACAGTTCTATTCTCTGGTTATTCTGAAACAGATCTGGCACTGAATGGGAAGCATGGGGATGCTCACTGCAGGGGGTTCATCAATAACAACACCTTTCCAGCAGTGGTCATTTTCATCATCAATCTGAGTACCTTGGAATCCTGTGGAAACACTTTAGTGGTAAGATGAAATCAAAGTGAAATTGTAGCATGGCTGTTTATGCATGGGGTCAAGTGAATGTCCTGACAGCATTACATCTTTTATGGATAATGTTTGCATTGTCTTTCCCAGTGAGCAATATAATGCATACATCAAAGAAAACCAGAGGAAGCTGAAAATGTACCTTGATTTCTAACCAGAAAACGTGATGGGACACATTTGCCCTCTGATTAGATGGTACATTTCACATAGTAGTAATTTTTTTTTCACTGAAAAAGATGTTTTCACAAGGCATTCTTAAAAACTTTATGAACATATTTTGTTTTCCTGAAACTTTTCAAATACCTGCTTGTGGAATAAAAGAAAAATATTTTTAAGAGCATGAGAGTTATAGTCTGGGTGCCTCTGAGATCTCATGTGAAAGGGCTTGTTGATTGATCCTATATATATTGTGATAAGGCAGGGCCTTCAGGCTGAATCTTGCAGCGGAAATAACCTGGCTAGAGGACTCGGCCCCGTGAGGGAGGAAGCTCACAGCAGGCATCTCTACAAGTAGTGCTCTCATGGCATTCACTTCTTTTTAGGATCTCCTCTCTGTGGAACTATCTGGCAACAAACTAAAGTTTTCAATCACACTGGGAATATTACGCCAGCAAACAAAAATTCACCAAACACCCACAAAATGAAGAATGGCAATTAACTATGTGCTCAAATTTTATATGCATATATATATATATATATATATATATATAAAGTATACGTATATACATATTTATATATTTTATATATATGTGTGTGTGTGTATATATATATATATATATATATATATATAAATCAAAGTGTGGGCCTGAAGACCAGATCTGTATGTTCAACTCGGGTCTTTTACTTGGTGCAGTGTCAATCTGTGCTATGATGTTTTGTCTGACTGTGACTTCAGAGTCTGCATTTTGTTACTGTTTTGTGCATAAATAATGCATATCCTTATGTAACTAATAATTAAATGTAACATTTAGCTAGTTTTTCAAACCAGAATCTGATCCAGGAGCTGACTTCAAACCCTGTTTCCTACCGATATAAATTTCACTCCCTTGAAAAAGAGTTATCTACCAGTGAATGACTGAAAAAAAAAAAAAAAAAAAAAAAAACAAAAACAAAACAACTTAGACCTTCTCAACCAAGGAAGAGTGAGCTTGCACAAGTTGTATATGTTGCCCTGTACAGGTCTTCACTGTTTGTATCAAACTGCCTATGAATAAATAACAAAAATGTGTAAAAATGTATTATTTTTAAGGCTTATGTTCTACCTGCAATTCATACAATCAAAGTTAGCTGTCAGTTTTCATAACAGTGCTGCTGTTTTCAGTTGCTAATAATTTTGTCAAACTGTGCTGAATTGTTCAAAATGCTCTCTGACCTATTTGCCTCAGGCTGAGTTTTCTTTAAAATTTTCAACAAAACTAAGTTCACCAAGCTCAAGATTCACTTTTCCCAGTCTCTGAGTACCTTCCATCTCCTGTGTTAGAAGTTGACAGGAAGGAACTTTTTGCTCTTCGTGTGGAGTCAGTCACACTGTCAACTCTGAGAACATGCTCTTTGATTATAACTTTAAGAACGTGCTTTCTTATCAATCCAAATAACTGCAGATTGGAGATTCCAACGGGGCTCCCACAAAGCTGCACAAGATAAAAATATAACCAAAAATTCTTCTCAACCTGTCTAGGCATGCTGAGCCACGAAGAGGATGAAGGAGCTACAAGTTTTAGGGTCCCCACGATGGAATAGTAAAATCCCATGCAACTTTTTGGCTCTTTTTCACAGTGAAGGCTTCAAACTTGCTTTCCATATAAACAAAGGGAATACCAACCTTTTTGATTTTTGGGAGGATGGGATGGGGAGAAAGCCAAATAGCAGTGGCAGGTTATGCTACCTGGGTGCTCCAGGTTGTGTTTCTTAAGCAAGGGACAGACTAGGAAATCTGATACTGAGCATTTTCCTGCCATTGACTGAGCAATTAGTCACATGCCATTGGCATTGTAATAGAAAAGTTCCTTCACCATTGTCCAAAACACTCAAATTCATTGGGAATTCCCAGAGGAAGTGCTTACCAGGATTCATCAGTTTTACTCAAATGTTACTCAAATCTGTGTTTCAAGAACAGTGATATCCCCTATGAACTGTATATGCTTGATCCTGGGGAGGTTAGAGACAGAACATAAGCAACACGGTGTTGATAAAGCAAACTCATTTTCAACAGATCTTTCTGAAGATATTTCTGGGTGAATGATGGGTGAAGCATCAGGTATAACTCTTGTCCCATGTTCAACTTCCTGGTAATACTTGTTTTCTATCTCCCTCAATAGGTGTCCTCAGCTCGAGGTGTCAATGCTTATGGGAATATCTCAGTGGTACAGATAGGTAATGTTTCGGGCTATATAGATACACCAGACCCACCAACTATTATCAGCTATTTACCTGGGCTTCTGTACAAATTTAGCTGTAGCTATCCTCTGGAGTACCTGGTTAACAATACCCAGCTTGCTTCGTAAGTGTCCTTTTCATTCCTTTGTGTTTCATTCCCATATTTGTATAAGTCCATATATATTTGTATCTGTGCATACCTAAATATTTGCATGCTATAGCAGTACTGTCAACATGATGATACTTAGCTTTTTATAATAGTAAAGAGAATGAAAAAAAAATACACTGAAAGAAGAGGTGATGCAAAGGTAAAAAGGGAAATTAATTACCATCACTGTATGAGATACCATAGTATTTATGAGAAGCTACTGTGGGTTTTCTTGTAAAGCTTGCCTTAAAGTTATTGTATTCTGATGACAAAATGACAGCAGTAAACATGGAAATTCTTTTTGAAATTGTTTGGAAGAAAATATTTCCATTAGTAGATCCTGTACATCATGAAAAGCAGGTTCCTTCTTGTCACTTTGCCTCTCTGCTAATTGTTTTTCTGATTCATGTTTTTGACAGTATCCATTATTTTCCATATAGTTAAGGTTCTGTCAGTGTTTCCACTATAAGCTTGTATTTCTGAGGTTTATAACCCAAACAGATAAATTAACTTCTTGCGATACAGCTCATTGAGTTTTTTAACAATAAAAAACACTGAAGTGTGTAAAGACAAAAATAAAATGCATTTTTGATCTTCACGATTCTTCTGGTTCTGTTGTAGGTCATCGGCTGCTATTTCTGTAAGGGAGAACAATGGTACATTTATCAGCACTTTGAATTTGTTGCTTTACAATGTGAGTATAAAACACAGTAACACGACCTAGATGAAATCCATCTCTGCATTCTGTAGGTACAAACTGGATTTGTAGAGCAAATTGTAAAGTCCTCTTTGTTAGGTGTTATTCTCCTCCCATTCCTCTGATGAAGGACCAGGCCTTCAGTTTGGACAGCTTTAATCTAGGTTCTCTGGACCTTTTTGTTTGCATGTACCTCTTGCCTTGTGTTTGGGTAGCTGGTCTTTGAGGAGGCACAGTCTGTATTTATGCAATTCATCAATTTACAGCTCTGGCTTTAAGGTTCTAATGCTATGCAAATAATCAGTTGTAGTAGTTATAGCCATACTTCAGAGTGCATAGTCGTGTTTTCATTCATTATATTTATGGGCATATTTCTATATATCTGTGTGTGTATGTGCATAGGTACATTGCACTGATACAGAGGATAGTCTGTAGTATTCTATAAAAATATTATAGACCTGTTCCCTTAACAATAAACGGCAGCTCTTTTGCTGGAGTATTTTTATGTTCAAGGCTCATAAGAGTGTTTTGATCATCTTTAATTGTCATGAGGGATGTGGGATTTGTTATAAAACTGAAGCCCACTGTACTTGTTACCTCATTTTGTGAACTTACATGATTTTAAGGGTCAATAATTCTAATAGGTTTTAGCTAACCTCTCTGTCATATACCCTTTTAGGTAATTTAACTTGGATGTGCATTATTGTGTACGTTTTTCCTGTGTAAATATGGATGGTGACAGTAAAATGTGAAAAACGTGTGGACCTCTACTTAATAACAACATTAATCCCTGAAATGATTTTTTCCCGTTGATTAAAATTTTTATTCATACATTTTAAATACCTGATTTAAATATCAATTTCTCAATCTATCAGGCAACATTTTTGTAAATTATGATTCCGATTTTTTGCATTATTATTCATGTCATCATGACATTGAGTTATAATTCATGCAACTGATTTAAAAGTCAATGCTTTAAACTTTGAACATAATGAGCTATAAATATTGTAACAGGACATTTTCCAAAGGCATTCTTTAAAAAAATCTTGTTTGTTTGGCAGAGCTCTGAATATCAGTTCTTAATCTGTTAAAATGAAGATTATACTTCTCTGATTTTTAAATAATCCTGACCAAAAAGATGAGGAAGAGGGACTGTTGGCAAACTTCTCTGTAAGAAAAGGAACTGGCCACCACTTATTTGTTGCTGCCTTTCAGGACCTAATTCTGAATTATAAATGCTATTAATGCTTGTACTGAAAGTGCATTTATTTCTCAGTTAATTCTCAGAAAAATGGGTTTTATCTTCTCTACCCCAGGAGGTTTACAAGTTGATTGTGAATCATAGAATCATAGAATGGCTTGGGTTGGAAGGAACATCAAAGATCATCAAGCTCCAACCCCCTGCCACAAGCAGGGCCACCAACCTCCATATCTAATACTAGACCAGATTGCCCAGTGAATCTCCAAAACTTACAGAATGAGGGACTTACTGTAGAATGTTTTTCATTATTTTGGAAAATTTGGTGGCATTTGATATTAGAAATTTGTATAATTGACTTTATACGTGGCAAGGTAACTTTAACATCCTAAAGGATCATGTGTGCATGCATGGCTCCCAAGGCCTCCAGTAATGAAGAGGGTGGATATTGAGCAAGCTGTGATTTTTGGCACTATTTCCTTAGAAAAATCTCTTGATTTATATACTTAATTCTTCTTGTTACTGTCGGCTGCTGCTCTTGCCTGCCACACTGGTTCTATTGTAGCACTTCCAAAATTCTACTTGAGTGCTTTGACCTCTCACAAGAGGTATTAACATGCTGAGTTTCTGTTCTTTATGGATTAGCAACCTTATTTGACATAGGTGACATTAACAGTAAGTGCATTTTGATATGCTAAATTAACATCTGTCATTCTAAATTTGTTTTATGGCATCTGTGGGTCATTGCTAAAGAGAAGTTAATGTGAACAAGAAACTAGCAAAGCAGCTATGTCTATATATAGTCATTGTTATGTATGGCCAATTTTTAGCTGTTTTGTTTCTTCAAATGGAATTCTTGAAACATTACAATTTAAAAGAAGGCTTTTGCTACTTAAAACCTGAGAACCTTCCCTGAGAAAGGTTGCTCTCTGACAATATAATTATACTCTTCCTTTAGAAAACCACAGCAGCCACTTGACTGCATGTGAGCATTGGAAGACATACTGAGGTGCTCATTTGCAGTAACCTTGTTCATAAATAGTACCTTTTCTTCAGTCACTGACCCAGCCACTTCATATGATGATAAATAAATAGATATTCCCCAATAGCTGCATGGAATAAGACATATGAATTGTTGGTCTTTACTGACAAACTGCCTAGACAAACTGCAAATGCCTACAGTGCAGTGCTGGCACTGTTTTGTACTTCCTCCCAGAAATGGGACACAAAGAGACAGAAAGTCTATTACTGTCTTATGTGCTCTAACACAAGTTGGAAAAATTAGATGAGAGTTTATTTTGTGAATGCTGATGATTTGTCACAGTGGGATTTCTGGTATATTGAGTCAATGTTTATTTTTCAGGACTCGACCTACAGCCAGCAGCTCCTCATTCCAAGTACAGGTTTACCTTTGAAAACCAAAATATATGCAGCTGTGAGAGCAACCAACCTTGATGGCAGGTACCATAGAGGATGTTATTTCTTGTTCTGATGCCTATTCAGCTCCTGGGTTTTTAAGTTATTCTGATTTAGAAGCAACTGTCTGTCTTTGTAACCTTTTGTGCGTTAAAGTGGTGGTTAGTGTTTGACAATCATTACCTTCAACTGAAGGATATAAAATCCTCGATATTGAATGCGTATCTTGCTGTTGTCCTCATAATGAAAGTTTTCCCTCACTGTCTATTTCTGCTCTTATACTGCCATTTCCATCATCATCTATCACTTTGCCTCTGTACAGGTGGAATGTTTTGATGGACTACTGTTACACTACACCATCTGGTAATCCGAGTGATGATCTTCGATATGATCTTTTTTTCAGGTAAATCCTGTGCAACTCAGTAATTGTAGGTCCTTCTTTTAAAAAACACAGTTATAAATTTCTCAGATAGTGGTTTCTAGGCTGCTTGAAAACTCTAAGAAATATTAGTAGAGAGGCTAAGGGCTGAACTTACAGATAACATGTCAAGACTCAGCTTTTTCTGAACGTAAGCATAGGATCAATTTCAGAGTAATAAGAATTATGGTGGAGAACTGTACATCTAAAATGTGTCTACTAGAGACAACAGAAACGTGCAAACTGGCCTTTGTTTTACCAAAGATACTCTTGCAGTGAATGACTATATTGTAAAATATTGTAGATTGGTATTTAGGAAAAGAGTAAAGGAAATGATTAAAGTTAAATAGATGTTCCTGCTACTCTCAATAATATTTACTTGAATTGGAATTTTGAAAAATGTGAATAGTATCTTGGCAGTATCTCAGATTAAATCTCACCAATGAAGACTGCTAGAATATTGTCTTCATGTGGAATTACCTGTCTATACCAGTTAGCATAACTGGTAACTTATTGCTTTTGCCTTTAGTTTTTTTTTATATCACTGGAATTAAATGGTACCTTAGTTTGCAACTGTGATGTTGCAAAACAAAACGAAGCACAGTGTTTCTGTAGCAGTGAGTGCAGGACTTCGCAGCCTGTTGTGTGACTGTGGCTGCACACGTTGGACATCGTGGCAGTATGTTCTTTACAGTTGACCCAAAGCACTAACTTGACTGCCTAACTGTCTTATTCTCACCTAATAGTTTTAAAAAGCCAGCCATCTATCTAATCATCCTAGCTTTAATCTTCTCTACAAAAACTAGCTGTGACAAGGACCCTCAGACAACTATCATTGAAAATGGCAAGAGCCAAATGGGGCGATTTTCATTTGAGGTATTCCGCTTTGTGAAGCACAAGAACCAGAAGATGTCTACGGTCTTCCTCCACTGCGTGACAAAGCTGTGCAGAGCAGATGACTGTCCCTTTCTTGTGCCAGTAAGTTTCAATTGATGGAAATTGATGCAAATTCTCTGAATGTAAGATAGTCACACTGGAGTTTGTCTGCATCCAAAAGTAACAGATGCTTGGAATGCACAGAATAAAGGTGACTTGTGTAGTCAAAATAAGATGAGCTTCGTGCATCTGAAGGAATGTAAAACAACTTATGGTGAATATGGTAATGAATGTGCTCATCCATAATAGATGTGCAGGTTGCACAGGTTGTTGGACATGCAATCAGTCATCTTTTTTCTTTTGATCCTTAGCTGCTTATTAAAAGTAATGACTGAGACATCTTGAGATCTAGTAGTCTTAATATAGCATAGAAACAAAGTATCCGTAATCATTGCAGATTAATATAAATATTTTAAATATAATTAATATAAAACTTATTGTAATGGTAAGCAAACTTACTCTGAGGGATATTTGAAAGTATTGCTTATAGTGGGGAAAAAATAATGCCTCCCCCTCTTATTTATTATAATCTCCCTTATAGTTACAAAAGTGCTGTGGTGTTGACGTTCAAACATTCAATTCAATTCAAAGATCATTTCCTTTTGGGGGCATTGCAAACAACAAATATATTTTGGAAACTGAAACACAGTTTGTATATTGAACACAAAATATTCTGCGCTGATATCTTCAAAATGCAGTATCATTTCCTGCTGAATGACTTTCCATTCAAAATTATAAAATGCCCTCAATTCCAACATCTTAAATGCAATTCTTTGTTTCTGTGGAGGTGCATGTTCTATGGGTTTTGAAATTCTTTCACATGCAGTTGAAAACCAAGAAATAATCTTGTTTGAAGCATTCTTGAGTAACCAAGATTAAGATAGATAAGAGAGATGCTAATTAAAAGTGGATTCCAGATGGTAGAATGCTGGGAATGGTTTTAACGTGTCACTGCTATTTAGGAGTCCATGGAAAAATATGAAGTTTAACTTAAGAACTCTGCTAGAACAGGAACTGTAGCATGTTGTCTATCTGTAGTCAGGCAAAACACATTTATTGTGAAAACTGACTGTAAACAAAGCATTGGGAAATTAACTACTGAAAATTTAATAAACTGTAAGATGAATCTTGTACACAACAGCAATGTAGTTCTGTAAATGAAGTAAGGCAAACTACAACGGGAAGCTAGGCATTTACAAGATACTCTTCTACAGAATATTGCAGTTGTTTTTATTGCAAAGTAATTTAATGCATACTATAAGAAATAAAAGTTGTAGTATTGCTTGTAAAAGAACTTCCATTAAAACAGGAAGCACAGAAGGGCAATAATTCCATTCCAGTCTGAAACAGTGATTGTTTTCATTAACCACTCAGATTTGCAGTCACAGAGAAAGAAGAGATGCTGGTAGCAGAACAACTTGGAGGCCTCAGAGCACCTCTGGCAATGCTGTGATCACTGCTGGCCCCATCATTACGAGGAGTGGTAGGAACAAGCAAACTTTTTCTATGCATGGCAGAAATTTCAAACACCTGGGGATATGTTTTAACAGTTTAACAGAAATTTGTAATGACTTAGAAAAAGGATGGATTCTCCATGAGTTTGGGTGATTTTTCTTCAACTACTGGAATCTAGTAGAAAGGATGAGCTAGTATTTCTGCTTAGTACTCGCACTTTCTCTTTACCTCATGAAAATTAAAACCCAAAGTCAGTGACTTTTTTTTTTTTTTTTTTTGGAAGTTAATGGAATTTAAGGTACTGTGTTCAGCATCACAAGTTAATTTGGACAGCTAATAAATACTCACTGTCATTTTCTATTCGCCATTTCTTTCACCTTCACCTGTGGGTTGCTATTTATGTTAATACATGCTATTAGCCTTCAGCTTTCAGATCCTGAGTAGAACTCTAAGGAGGTCCATTTTTATTGTCAAAATGTGGAGGTTTTTTTGGTTGATGTTTGTTGGTTTTGTTTTAAACCAACCTGCAGTCTCTAAAAAGTACTTCTGTGACTGCTGTAGACAACATAATAAAAATAAAACATTTTAAAACTGTTGAAGAAATTCGGTTTGCAGATTTCAGCAGCCTTAGATTTAGGAATCTGAGTACAGGACTGAGTCTTGTCTAAGAAAGATAATTGAAACACTTGAGCATAAAATCCTTCTTTACATGCAAAGTAGTTATGCCCACACGTACAAGGAGGGCGACTGACCCTCCATAATTTGGAGCCATCTACAAAGAGACTATTTTTTAGAATCAGATATCCTCAGTTATAAGCAACGTTTCATCAAGGAAAAACAGTATTTTCTTCTGTATTATAAATGGTCCCAATTGAGTACCCTTACTGTCATCTGATAAGTCAATAAAAAGTGAAAAAAAACTAACTTCAGAGTTGCATGAATGAATGCATATTGAAAATAAATGACAGATTTGCTTAAACACATGCTAGTGAAACACTGCCTTAGGCAAGGAATGAGAACTATATAAAGCTTGGCATGTGAACAGTCCCTTTTAAAGAGTAAAGTTTGATTCAAATGCTGTGGATGCATTTTTAAATAATAATAATAATAATAATAATAAAAGATATTAATGTATTAGCTTTAAATAAAGCATTACTTCAAGAAAATCAAGATCTTACCACGGGTATTTGATGATCCCAAAGCTATGATAAACTAATATATATAATTTGTTGACCGTTCTTGATTATTATTGTTATTTTTTTTTTAATGAGAACACTAATAAGACTGAGAGAGCTGGGGCTGTTCAGCCTGGAGAAGAAAAGGTTCCAGAGAGACCTGATAGCAGCCTTTCAGTATCTACAGGGGGGGTGTAAAGAAGAAAGAGACAGACTTTAGCAGGGTCTGCTGTGACAGGACAAGGGGAAATGGTTTCAAACTAAAAGAGGGGAGACTTCGACTAGTATAAGGAAATTCTTTACAATAAGGGAGACGAGGCACTGACACAGGTTGCCCAGAGATGTGGTGGGTGCCTTGTTCTTATAGACATTGAAGGTCAGGCTGGATGGGGCTCTGAGCAACCTGATCTAGCTGTAGGTGTCCCTGCTTGTTGCAGGGGAAGACGACTAGGTGACATTTAAGGGTCTCTTCCAATTCAAAAATGATTCTATGATAAGGGAAGTAGTATTTTTTTTAGGTGTCTTTTAGTTGAGATATGTGACTAAGGCGTTATTAGATTAGACAGATTTCTTCATACAGCATACTTTTGGGCCATTCCACTCCCACTGACAGAGGCATGTTTTGGTGGGATGTACTTTGAAAAGCAGTGATTTAGTTCTGGAATGTGCCACCAATTTCCCGAGTGTTATTGGTCAAGTTAATCTGGCTTAAACTTCACTTTTCCTTCTGGAGCAAAAAGAGGTAATTGCTGTTTTCTACCACTGTCTTTTCCTGTTGTGCAAATAAGTGGTAAGTGCACTGGTGATGTGAGGTTCGTGAATAGTGTGGTCAAAGAAAAAAAGGGGGGCGGGCATGGGAAAGCTTCAGGCTGAACAGAATTGACTGCTTTGTGGATGAGGAATCCTATGGGTGGCAGTGCTGTCTTTGACACAATGCTATACAAAGGTGCTTAATACTATTTTCAAGAACAGATCTGCTCTAGTTTTACTAGAGAGCCCATAAAACCTGCTGCACCTGGCTGAGCATAATACATATGCTTGTCATGTGGCTGCAGATGTGCCACCCCCTGGTTTCCACATTTGAGTTGGTGCTGCATCTATGCCTGGGCTGGTCCTGTGCACTTCAGTGTCTCCCCAGAAGCACCTCACATAGTTAGCCAAACCTTCCCATTACTCTAATCATCAATTGTTCTGGTAACAGCACTACTTATGTAATTACCTTAGTAGGAACTGAATAGTGCTGCAGCAGATGAATAATGGTCCTTCTCCTGTGTATTTCTGAACTCTTATTTCTAAAATTACCTTCTTTTCAGAGAAACTTCATTCATGATTGTTAAACTAAAGTAAGTCACTGCAAGAGAAATACACAACAGAAAATGTTTTGGTCTCTGTATTCAGAGTCAAAGTAAGCACCTATTTGTGAAGGTGAGATTGTACAGCTTTTGATGGTTGTCTCACTTAACCATAGAAGACAGCTGCTCAAAATAGATGTGTACATAAGCTGTGATTACAAGTTGCATGAAAAAGCAAAAACAGTGACAAAAAGTGTAGTTTTGAGATGGGCAATGGTAAGTGTAAATGGAATATAAATGTTTCCCCAAGTACAGTATGTAGGAGCCAAGAGCAGAGGGTACGTTGAGAAATGGTGTTTTTGTCATCGCTTAAGGTCGTTGCTTTAGTTTTCCTTGGAAAAACTTTTTCTTGTTTGCATGCTTTCTTTTTTCCCCCTCAGAATACTAAGTAACTTTGAGTTGTTGCATTTGCCTAAAAAAATGAAGAGACTTCATATAATTAATGTTGTCATACTGATTTTACCAGAGATACTGAAAACAGCTAGTTAATGTTGCAAATATAGTTGATGTGTTTTGAAAATAAAGCCATCTGCTAGCCTTTGTATGCAAAGAGAGGAGGGGGGCAGGTACCAGGTGTCTGTAAAATATAATGCATCTCGTTTGTTTGTTTGTTTGTTTGTTTGTTTTAATGCAGATGAGACACCAACCAACAACTCTCAGCTTGGTAAGTTAATCAAAATTCCAAGAAACACAAAAGAGATGTTTTATGATTGAAACAGAAATGAGGAGAATGAACCTTTTTGATTCAGTTTGAGGCACTGAGCTAGAATGTTTTGGTTTTTTTTTTCTTCTTTTTGGCTTTTGTCTTTTAAATAAGTAAATACTGGCACCCTGCCATAACGAAAATATTTGGTGAATTTGGATTGCTCAGTTTCATTTGTATATCCAACCTCACCAACAAAGCAGCTTCTAATTCCTGTGGTGGAGTTGAAGTGAAAATCTGTTGCTATGACATACGAGGGTGAAGAAGCATTGCAACTGCCAGAAGCAAAATCGGACTTAAGCAGTAAAATCTGCTTATGCCATATGGGAGCTGTGCAGCAAAATGGTTGTTAAGGTGCAGTTCGGTTCAGAGCTCAAACTCAGGAGAGTCCTGCCTTAGTTCTTGTTCTGGCATTTAACCACATGAAGAGCCCATGAAGAACTTTGGCTAGAACTAGTGGTCAGTAGTAGAGTGAGGAAGGAAGTAGGCTGCAGGGAGATCTGGGCTTTATTTTTTTGCAGTGCTTCTCCTATGGACACTTGGAGGGCATTTTTCAGCTTGTATGTTATTTTGCTGGTAATGGGGAGTTGCTAATGATTAGTAAAGAAAGGATGGTCTGTTAAGCCATCCTGCTTCTTACTTGCTTGTAAGAGGACCCAGTGGCAGAAGCAACTGATGCTGTCCTCAGAACTGTACTAGCTATCTGTTGCCTTATCTTCTTGGATTGGACCCCATAAAAACAGCTGCCTTTCCCTCCTGGCATGGAAACAGTTATCCTTACACCTCTGCCTCGACAGCTCTTGGGCAGTGGCAATCTTCTCCTAAACTTAAAAGGTCAAGGTTGGTCACCCAGTGTGAGGGATTGTGTGTTGGAAGTATCCTTATTGTCTTTATTCCCCAGTATAATTGGTAGTGAAAGAACTACCAGTTTTCTAAGTATACTTAGATAAATTTTATCCAAGTGGACAGGTACTCATTCTGAAGTATAATTTTAGTCTTTTGCTGTAATTATTCTCTATTTGATATAAAGACAGCAGCATTTGGCACTGCTGAGAATTTCTAACTGGAAATTACCTGTGCATTTTTGTTCTTGCAGCTCAATACGGACCTCCTTTCCAGCTGAATTCAGTCACCAGTGCACTGATTTCAGGCGTGGTCATCCTCGGAATCACAAGTGTTTTCTTTTTTGTGTGTTCCCTAACTCTTCTGCACAGAAATTGGCCCAACAACTCAGTCTTGAGTGGCATCCGAAACCCAGTTTTTAACTGAAAGTGATTTACTTGCACTTTTTGTTTGAGGTTGCCTTTCTTGTCCATGAAATATGCTTCCACTAAAAAAAGAAAAAAAGTAAAAAAAAAAAAAAAAAAAAAAAAAAAAAAAAAGGCAACGTTCCATCTGTATCCAGCTTCTATTCCAGCTATTCTTTATTTGTAGACATGCTAGACATTGTTGTGTGTAGGTAAGTAGCAGTGATATTGGTGACAATCCTAGGAAACAGAGAATCTCAATTGTGTTTGTGATCAGACTATATACGACATAACGCCCATGGGTGTGCTGACAATAGAGCTCGTGTCTTCAGCTTCCCAAACAGGTCTTAAAGCTGAAGATGCTTAAGGTGAGAACCTATCAAAATGTGCTATGCAAAACCTTATGCATTCAGAAACATTCCTACAATCATAAATGTTTGTTAAGATGAGAATCACTTACATTTTTTCATGTTTCATTATAAATTTGAAAAAACAATTGTGGCTCAGGAGGAAATTGTTATCATCTGTCTTGGCTAAAAAGAAACATACTCTCAGAGTAATTAATGACTTCTGTTTATTATTCATTTGAAAATGTTTTCTTAAGATACTTCTTCCATTGGATTGTGGTGATGGCACGTAAAGTAACGCAAAACAGAATTTGGCTGGGTATCTGTGAGTCGAATGGTGTAGGGCAAATTGCTGTAGGTGCCAGGAGAATGCTGTGAGTATTGAGGTTGAAATCTTTTTTCCCCAACAAAATCATTGAGTGAGAATATGAGTGAGTTTTAAATCTAGCTAATATTCTGCAGAAAATTAATTATGCACAGATTCACCACATCTACAACTTTCAGTCAAATTCTAACCCTGGAAAATGCTCTAAGGGGAGAAAGTATTCCTTTACCCCCTGCCTCCCTGAAGGGACAAGCAAATAAATGAATAGTAGGTCAATGCTTATTTCTGTAGCAAATTCTCCCCATGGATTAGACTTCTTCACTGCATAGATGAGGGGAAGAGGGCACCTAGAAGAATAACAGGCCACAGGCAGTACCATGCTGTTGACTCTAGTGAATCTGATAAACAACAAATTTAAATCAAGTTGAGAGTGACCAGATGCCTTCAAACTGGAGCACTGGGCAGTGATATAGCTGCGTAGACTAGACAAAATTCTGGTGTACAAGAGAGGCCATAGTAGACATGACATATAATAAGCTGGACTGGATAGACAGTTGGGATTTTGGTCACAGATTCATCAGTTAATTTGGAATTTAAGTTTTTAAAGTACTGTACATACTGGCCTAGAGAAACACCTCTTTAATATTTGTCCTCATCCTATTTCAACAAAGTCTGCGTTTTCATTGATGTAACACAACTGGATAACAATCAGGGCTTCTTAGCTCTCAAGTCTGAAGATGTACAGACTCTCAGTTTTCTGTGATCCTACAAATGCTGTATAAAAGCCTGGTGTTCACAAAGTCCACTGTGCTGTAATGTGGTGTCCCTAACAACCAATACTGTGCCTGTTTTCCTCCAGTCTTAATACCTCAGAAACATTTTTGCACTTCAGGGGTTAGGTCTGATGACATGTAAAACATGATCATTTAATAAAATTATTTGAAAAAATTCAGAATGAATATTTTGTCTGAAGCATTTTTTTTCTTACTTTTAAAGTATGGAGTTTGTGTATTTATGCAGTGACCTCATCCTGCAAAGATGAAGAGCGAAAGTTTCTTTAAAGTCAGTCTGTAAGAGCTTTCAACATAGACAATAAATTAATATAGCTCTAATGGCCCTTAAAAGGTAGTGATAAAACTCAAGAGATTTCTATCCCAGTCTGGATAGAAATAAATTCAGAAAATCTGTTGTAATTAACTCAGAAACAACCACAGAAATTCCATAAATAAAATTCATACTGTGTAACGTACTACAGCAGCTTTAGTTGGATGTTTTTAGCAATGGAGATAGCCATTACCACGCTCAGGAAGCTGTTCCAACAGCTGATTACTGTCCCTGGCACTTTTAAAGACTATTTCTTATCTGCTCAATTGAACTGATGGTGAGTCTTTTCTAACCGAGATCTCACAAAATTTCCTTAAGACCACAGGAAAATAATAGTAAATGTTGTCACAAAAACTGGAGAAAGAAAAACCTCTGAAATAGTAGACCTGCCCTATTTCAGTTTCTATTACTGGTAAGAAATTTGTTGCTTTTATAAAAGACTTGTTCACTGAACTTCTCAAGGTTTGGTTAGCCTATTGCAAAAATTGTGTTGTTAATAATGTAACACGCAAACTGTGTTTTTCTTCTATAAAGTAAAAATTCTGGAGCAGTTTGTTTTTGTGAAGAACAAGATTATATGTTCTGTGTTGTCTGTGCAACTTTTTCTCATGTGAAAATTACTAGGTACTAAAAGCTGATCCCTCGCCAGTTAAGTTTGTCAAGTGAGTTCCTGCAGTCATCTGAACGTGGCATGGATGGAAAGTATCTCCATTGTTCATAGAGGTAAAATTCACTGCGGTTCACTCAGAGCATAACTCATAACCTCACCCCTTTAATGAGTTTCAAGAAACAGGGTAAGCAGGTGCAGGGTGGATGTGCACAAAAAAGGTTGCGCTTTATGGAGGGGCAGAACATGAGGTGAGAGAGGAGTGGAGACAGCTTGGAAGTGTGAGTTACAGCCAGTGGGAAGAGACTCCTGGTGCTTGAGATACTGGGTTTGATGTGAAGCAGTGAATTAAAAAGACACTGTGCGCTGTATAAGGAACTCTTCACACAGATGCATAATCCTCTCATGTCCATAATGTCAGCCTCATATAGGCTTTTAAGTGAAACTATATTACTTAATATCTCTTCTTATAAAGCCCCTTCCATTAGCAGTGTCCATCAGCAAATGGCTTTACACAGAGGTCAGATTTCTGCAGGCGAGTGCGATGTACTGAAAAGTGCTTAGATTGGTGACCCAGACTGTGGAGGAAACAAAAGAGACACCAGACAAGCTTGGTTGAAATCCAATAGAACTTAATAAAGCTATACAGAGGTGGAAATGCTTGCAGGCTTCCTGCCTTTGGAAGAAATAAATGGCATATCCAGCTGGAGCTAAGCACATCAGTGCTGGGGATAAATTCATTTAATATTTGGCAAACAGGCCTTGGGAAGTAAGCCGGAAGTTATTCAGGTTTCCTGCTTCATTTAGCAGACAGTATTTCTTACTCTTGGTATCTCTTAGGGTCTACAAATAAGCCAAAAACAGCAGCCTTGCCCTGTTAAACTGCTTATCTCTCCATCTGGAGGAGAAACAGGCAGGAGTATCACGATAAACTGAGAAATGTTCCAAGTATGGCAAATTGATCCTGCCTCAGGTTGCACTCAGTTCTTATTTTAGTACCATTTAGACAATCGAGGGCCTTTCAGGAAGAAAGATAAACATCTTTTTCTGATAAGTTGGAAATGGAAAGGTTGCAGAGGAGAGCTACTATTGACTCGCCTGGCCATTTGATATGCAGGGCTGTAACGTGGCTCTTTGCCATAGTGTCAATTTTGAAATGTTTTTATAACAGCTCTATTACTCACTCTTATTAAATCTTTCCCATTCTTTCGGAGAATGGTTGTGAATGTTTGTACAATTAGCAAATACATCCTTGAGATGGTGGAACTGAAAGTATCAGGGAGGAATGTTGTTCATTCATCAGATTTTTCATGCGTCACCACTGGCAAACTGAGTGGGGTTGCTGGCTAGTAGTATGCTCATAATCTCTGCATTTAGACTTCATGGTATAGTGTGAAAATTACTTTCCAGCAGAAAGGACCTACAGCAGTCCTTGTAACCAAGATATATGCTTAGTGGGAGCTTAAATTTTCTGATAGATTGCTTCCAGTGTACTGCTAAAAGGGAAAATCTTCAGTTCTCTGGGTAGACAGGGTGGTCATTCTACAAATACAGTATCTAGCCTGTATCAACTACTGTGCACAACCTGAACTAGCTTACTAAAAGCAAGGCCCCTGAGGTGCATTTATCAAGCCTGCTTATTTTGCATAAAAATGTCATTAAGAAAAAAGGCTTCCACGTGTTTCCAGTTTCCCCAGACTGGAGAATGGCTCAGAAGAGCCCCATGTTCCACCAGCTGGTCACTCAGCTTCCAGTCAAGATGGAAAGGCTGAGTGATGTCCACTGCAGGTATTGCTCAGGGCAGGTGACAGCACAGATGTTGTTGTGACTGGTTTCCCCTAAGGGTTTTAATCACTTGTCTCTGAAATCAAGCTAATGTCTGCTTCCAGTTAGTAGCTTTATTATTTATTCTTAGCAGGTGGTAACATCTGGCTATGCAGTAGCTGTTTTGAGGAACAGGAATAGTTTTGATGCCCTTAAACCGTTTGGAACACTAAAATCCTTTTCATCTTATGAACTAAGTAAAATTTATTAAACTAGGTTCATCTGTGTGTTCACAAGTTACTTTATGTAGCAGATATTTCTGATTTCTTTTTCTCCCCAGTTTGTAGCAAATGAAGATAGTGGTCCTGTTGATTCAAATGCTAAGTTGAATGTAATGCTAAATGAATGTAAGGGCCGGAGTTGGGTGTGGGATATGCACTGGCCAGTTCATTGGGTGAACATAGTCCTTCCCATTCACCTGTGTGAGTGATGTATCAGGGGATAAGCACATATGGTGTGCACACTGTTAGCATCTTATCTGCACCATCAAATCCTGGCCAATGAGTTAATGCCATGCGATGGAGTGGTTGCATATAGTCATCACAGCACTGTAATTTATCTGATCAGAGGCATGCAGTGGTGCCTTCTACGCTGTGAGATAGCACTTTGCATGCACTTTGTAACTTGGCAAAGCATGACTGTAGCCTAGGTAATGCTCTTCATTTACATTGCTACCCATCTGCATTGTTGAGTAGCTTGTTCTGCTACAGGCAATGAGCATGCAGGCTTGGTCTGATGGAAGTGCTGATTACGTGTGCTAATAGAAGTGCATGATTTAGTGGGAAGTCAGTGCATTATCCTCCTCTCTGGGTAATTGTGTTTGCTTCTGTAAAGGAAGACAGAGCAGCAAGAGTGGAAGTCAGCAGTGCTATGGACGAGCA